TACTCTCGGCATAATTTATCACAGAGCAGAAGTTCCAGGTTTAGAAATGAGGCCATGATTCAGTCCAACAGCCTCAGCAATGATAAGCTTAAAGTGATGCATGTATAACATCTCATTATCAACAATGTAAAAATATGTTTTGTAATTGTGAGACAAAGCTCTCAAGCTTTTGCAGATCAAAAGAACTTTGGCTTCCTGGACTAACTGTGCATTCACTTTCTCTGACAAAAGGTAATTGTGGTTTATCTGTTTATAAACAGTAGAAAATTGGAGAAAAGAGAATTAAAATTCTCTTTTACCTCACCCAGTACTGTTTGCTACACAGGAAACAACCATAAAGGAAAAAGATCTGTTCCTCTGCTGATTCTCCAATCCTTTTCTCAGTGACAGGAGAAACTGTAATAGCAAAAGGCTTTTTCAGCTGGGGCATTTTGAAGACTTTCCATAAGACTGTTCTCCTGATCTCAGTACCTTATGAAACATGCACGATATTTCTCCCTCCACCATTTCTGCTCTCTATTTTGGTTACCATTGGCTTCTGCTCCCCATCACACCGTGGACTTGCAGATGCTCTGCCTGGGTAGCAGCAGTAGGTCTAGCAGAGCTGACACACTCGCTCCCACTCACAGAATCACCTCAGCATTGCTGTTTGCTCTGTCAGCACATACTTAAAACAATAAAGGTCTGCATTCTTGCTCGATACTGGATCTTTGGATTTAGGTTGTTATATGCCTAATTCTAATCATTATTGTAAGACAAAGAGCAACTGCAAAAGTTCTTGAAAAGCTGGAAATACCAATGACCTCAGGAATCATGCAACCACATATTTCAACAAAAGTGGGCTCTTCGTACCCATTTCTACAAAGTGACACCAATGTGTTCAGAGCCTCTGTCTGTCGTTGACTTCAAAGGTCATTTGTCAGCACTTTGCAGAGATGGTCCTTACTACAAATGTCAGCTTGGAAAATATGACAAAGAGCAGAAGTAAGAAACTATTCAATTATAGTGAATGTTGTTCATATAGAAAGGGGAACTACAGGGACATAGAAGGATAATCTGCATAGGTAAACATGTTTATAATGAAAACCACATTTAATAAGTAGTTCACCTACTAATTACCTCTTGAAAAAAAAAAGGATTGTTACTACTGAGTGGAAATAGCATACTGTGATTCTGGACTAATAAGAAAAATTTAATTATTATAAATTTCATGTCTCAATAAGAAATCACAATGCAGTTCATGATAAAACAGATAAAAACAACTTAAAATAGCGTTATCAATAAGAAATTATAAGAAATATTCTTAACAAAGGCAAAGAATTGTTAAATATGTACTGTAATTTTTATCATGTTCATCATGATGTCAAAATTTATCAGACTGCTAGGGTAAAAAGCAGATAAGGAAAAAATTGCATTATATAACAATTTTAAAATCTGAAATATAGAGATCTTATTTCAAAATGGAATTTAGTTTGGAAGCCCAACAGATTTATTTCTTGCTGTGTTTTACACTGGAATCTCTTGCAGTAAGCAAACATAAAGTGGAGCAGAGAACATAATTTATCGTGTGGTAAGAATGTTTTTTGTTTGTTTGTTTTTAAAATTAAAGGAATCATGCAGGAAAAGCTTCCTTTAAACACAAGAAACTCATGCTATTTGACTAGTTATTGATACTATTGGCATATAGCATGTTGACTAAAAGCTTAATATTTAATAACCCTGAAGTTCTAGAGCTCATGCTCTATTTCTCCAGACATTATTTGGTTGGTATTGGTGGGATACATAATATTGTACTTTCAGAGAAAGACAGTCAATAATTACATTATTTAATATGAATTTAGACTTCTAAGGTACTAACTAACTGCTTAGTTCTTCAGTGGACTGTAATATTTGTGTAAATGCAATGTATTTCTACAAGCAGCAATAGGAAATAGTCATATTTGTGTGAGTTTACATGGCAAAATACACTCAATCAACTGTTTCCAGAATATATAGGAAAACTGTAGAGTATGGTATAATAGCATATATTTTTAATCATCCAGTGATTTCCTTGAATGTCAGTTCCCTAGCAGTGGTACTCAAGACACACAACTTCCCCCCAGAAAGGTGTGTAACTGCAGACAAAACAATTTAATTGTATGTATGTCTATATAATATTTTGTATGCAGATCAAACTCTTTGTTCCTGAGTTTAAAGCATACACACATTTATTCTTCTCATATTTTTAGCTGACCAGGAGCTGTGTAACTGCATTAATTCTTGAGCTAATATACTGTGGCTCTCAACAGGGCTAATTAGTTTGGGTTCAGCCCCATGTTATAGCTCCAGATTGGCTTGGAAAGGAATCAAAGCAAGCTGTCTATATAAGACTATGTACATATACCTGGTACCAGTAACGACAAATAATGCATTCTAATTCAGAGTTTGATATCCATTTCTTCATCTCTGCTTTTCTTTAGAGAGGTAACAGTTTATGAAAGAAATAAATCCTTTAATAGCAAGTTCATTCATGAAAAAGACAAAATGTTGACTTCATCCTAGCCCATGCTATTATGTACACAGTAGACATCCCTGTACGTTCATGATACTATATTCTTCAGTTTTACTTTTTGAAGTGTAAAACAATGTTAGTAATTAGGAATGAGCACACCTTGTAGTGTGCTACATATATGTAGCTACCTATATATGTAGGTATATAATTTATATATATTATATATAAACATTTCTGAGATGGGTTTGTGGGCTTCAACTTGTAGGGAGTAGAGAATGAAGTTTGACATGCCTTTCTTTACAAAAATTGAGGAGCAGCAACTCCTTAAATATTTTCTTTCAGTACGTAAACACCCTGTTCTCCCTTTTTGCCTGTACTAAACTAAAAAGATTCCAAACTATAGAATATATTTGAAACAATTATTGCAAATACAGATTTTGCAATGTTGTCCCTATAACCTGCCTGAACATCTGTAGCCTTGATGCACAAGGTGGCTCAGCTCCATCATTGTATGGCAGGAAGGGGAAGAGAAGCAAGCTCTACCAGGTCTCTGTAACTTAACTGGGCTTTAGTTGATACATGACTCGTCCAGCTTATCAACTTACTTTAATCACTCAAAAGTGTTAACTTTTGCTGACTGTTTCTACTGAGATATGAATTGGTCCTAATCCAATTAACTATCCTTTGAAGACAACAAGACACAGCTGTAGTCAGATCAGAAGACCAGGCATATAGAGAGTAAAATGTCAAACAGAGAATCAAACCAGTAAATTCTGCACTGAAATAATTTGTCCTGTATCTTTGCAAGATATTAAATTCTACAACTACGTGCAAGTATGGAATATAGATTTGATTGCAGTAAGTAGTTAACTTCAAATATATTTGCTGTTGTTCAGGTCGTCTGTAAGTTTTGCATAGATTTACACTCATTTATGTTTTGAAATATTTCCCTGCAAAAGAAGATGGTTCTCGGACCACAGTTCCATCATAAAGAAAAAATCCTGTAGGCTGTCCCAGTATTAACAAACCATCTCAGCAAGCAAAACCAAGCATATTTTTGTTCTGCAAGACACTGCTAACTAAATTATAATTCTATAAAATTAGAAATCTAAATTAATCAGAACATAATAGTTACTGCTGCCCTCTACCAGCAGTCTTCCGGTGGATGGCTGAAATAAGGCACTACTTGCCTTTCCTTAAAAATATGTTACAGATTGCTAAGCCAGTATAATCAGATATTAGGCAAACTAAGTTTAATAAGATCTTGGACCACAGGTCACTCAATGTCTCTAACCTGACAATTTTTGTGCTCCAGGTAAGCATAGTAATGTTTATGCATTTATTTACATTAATTGTTCTGTTCAAAACAAAAAGTCCTGATTTTCTACAGTTTAAACCAATATAAAAGTACTGTGCAGATTATTCTTAATATCCTAGATCTACACCTGGAAAAATCCATTATAGTGATCTAATTTCAGTTATTAACTAGCTCCTCTGTCTAAAAGGCACTCAGAAAACATTTTATACTATTTTTTACTAATACTATACTATGCTTTTTTTTTTCCAAAATAAAATTACAAATATCCCAAACAGAGGGGAAGATTAAATATCTTGTCACTAGCTGTCATGGCATTTTTCTGCATTTTTTAGGATTAAAAGTTCTTAGACACAGATTATAATTACCCATGAAAAGCAAGCATTTAGTTCATACTAACATTTCACTTTAATTCCATATTCATACAAAGAACAACAAGTCACCAAACATTTATGGAGACAAAATCTTTTGGGTTTGGTTTTTTTTTAAAGTTCACAAAAAGTGACTAAAAAAAAGGCAAACCCACAAGCTTTACCAATCACATCAGTTTTTCATATAATATATCTACTGCCATATTCACCTGTCTGTAAAGCAGCTTACATAAAAAAGCTTAGAAAAACATACCAGTTTTATCGATACAAAACGAATTAATCAGCAAATATTTAAAATTTATGAGGCATTTCTCAATGAAAACAATCATGCTAAATAAGCTGTTTCAGGCAGTTCTAGGAAAAGCTTTAGCTGAAAACCTGCATTTACAATCTATCCTAAAAACAAGAAGAACACAGCACCAACCCAAGCATTAAGTCAATTAAAAAAGGGGAAAAAAATGAAATCCCTTCTCAGCTTAATAACTTGTTAGTTCTTGACAAGTGCAACAACACAACAATAAGCCAGTCAAAATGAGTTTTTAAAGCGAGGTTATGCCCTTCATGTTGTGTTATCACAGTGGCAGATCAAACTGCTGACTTGGACTCTTTCTGCCAGCAGTGCTGATGCTGCCTCTATGAGGCTACTGTCACGGAATAGTCATGGTACCTGCTCTTGCCTATAGAAAGGCACTAAATTGAACTCGAAGTAGTGTCTTTGTGATATCTTTTCAACAAGTCATGTCCCATTCAGCCTGCTAGTTTATCTCTGTCAGGCTGGGGGCCCAAGTGGTTTGCATGAGCTGTCAGGGACAGGTATACCAACCTGCTCAGTGCTAAGGAGGTAATGCATCTTTCGGGCTTGGTATTTCTTTTCCTTTTCTTTCTTTTCTAGGTCTTTCATTTTCTCTTCATTTTCCTTCATTTCTACGTACTCTTGAAGTTCACTCCTGTAACAAAATAAGTCTGCTATTATATTACAACAATAAAAGATGTGCTAATGTTCTATTTTACTTTAACCCTTTCATAGCTAAACAGCTATTATGTATTAGCAGTATACTGACACCACTGGAATGCAAACTTACAGTTCATTCAATTCCACAGCAGCAAGATCTACACAAATATAACTATGAAGAAATAGGATTAAAGTGACCAAAAGTATGAACAGTATATGTGTTCATATCGCTTATTCTTTTGAAGCATATGTCAACCTATGTATTTTTACAGCCTGATAAAATACTATTCATATATGTCCTTTTATTTGTCTTTGAGTGTCATTTTAGTTTTATTATCTCTAAGCAGGAGCTATTATAATGTAGTGATTTTCCTGAAAATGGTTTTAAAATAAAAGCTGTTCACTTATGTCTCAGCTAGTGCCTTGCAGCCCCTCCTGATCTGCAGAAAGGGGAGATCTTTTGGAATGAGAGAGGACAGTAGACATGGGATGAAAGATCCCATTCAATCCTAGATCCTTGAGCCTTTTGTCAGGTTGAGAATGTAGGCATAGAGAAAAACTGGATGTAAACCTTTTATGCATACATTGTCCTTAAGAGGAGTTTCCATGGCATTAGACTTCATGCATAGGTCATTCCTGCTCTGGTTTGATAGGAATCATACAGGCCACCACAAGAAACAGGAATGTAACTGCCTCATGAACCACTGCCTGTGTAGAAAATTCTTTCATCATACAAGAAATAAGGAACTATACCTAATACCAGGTTTCAAAGAATGGAGAAAACTCATGATTTTAACTGAATATTTAGAGTAAAACTTTAACAGAAAATGGGCAGAGTTTTCCTCCTCCAAGGCTTTTTTGTTTTCATAGAGCCAGGCTTGCCATAAATTATGCAAACAGTAGAGTGAATTAATGTTCTATAAGGAATGAAATTCCATGATATTGTGCACGTTTATGGAATTTTTTTGACCCAGTTAAAAAAGGTTAGTTTGATTAACATTTGTTATTTTTGTTATTACAAAATGGCTAGTTCAAATTAACCTGTGTGCCAAAGACACCAAGCATATTCAGTCAAGCATTTAGATTGCTTAAATGTTAATTAAGTGAGTAAATTCTAGTCTTTATTTTTTTAAGCATGTGTGTTTATGATAAAATAAAATAAAAATATTATTCACATAACTAGATAATTCAAATATTCCTGCAAAACAGACCATTTAGAGAGGTCCACATTTATAGCCTCAGTTGTTTCAATGAGTACCAAATAAGACACTGTGAGGACATGGGTCAAATCATGTCAAAATATGCACATGGATAAGTTTGCTGATATGAATAATCCCATGGGAAAGCCATACTGCTCGTGAAAGTGTTTTTAAGATTGTGGCTCCGACTTACTCTTGATATTTTAGTTATCATTAAATTAGTTCATCAAAATATATGAAAGAATAATAATTGCTTTATAAATATGAAAACTAAGAATTCACATTCTTAAGTACAAGTTGCAGTGTAGAATTTTTATTTGTTTCATGCTATCTTTGTAGTTTTTATCAATTAAAACAACTAAAATATTAAGTAATTAAACACATTTTATTTCCACTGTAAAAGAAAAATAGAATGAGAAGGAAATAAAGATTGGAAAAAATGTACAGGTATGTTTCAATCTCTGAAAATATTTTTTGTTGCAGTTTACTGTTAAAGGCTGCTAATACAATATTTCATACAAGGTTACTTATGAAGCACACTGACGTTTAAAAATCACCATGCTATGCTTTTGCAGCAGTGTAATTTTTTTCCAACATAAGATTAAATTGCAAAATAAATGAATTACTTAGAGTGGCATGGCCCCCATTTTGCCACCCTTCTCTTGAAAATTGCTTATTAATATGAAAAAAGAAGTTGGAAAATAGCCTGTTTTACTTTATGCATAGCATTCCGGGGCCTCAAAGCCTGCAGAGCTGGACTAGCTGCACATTTTAGATTGTGTTGGCAAGCGGGGACGATGACCTTTCTGACCTGCATCTCAAGGCTATTATTAATCGCTAAGTAACCTGGTAAAGCCAAACAAATTTGTTTCCATTGAAAGGATCTCTATCTGTGTCTGAGAATTTGTGCTGTACCAAACAAACCTCATTAACTGTGTCCATTTTTGACAAAGAACTAGGAGTTGGAGAGATTGGCGACCTTTCTTTGTCCTTAAGGTACAGATTTCAGAGTCACTGCATGTAGGTACATAAGCATTTTTACTTGGAAACTCTTTGTTCTATATCCATCAATCATAAACAAATGAATAAATCGACAATGCATATAGTATCAACTTTGTTCTTTTATTTTATGCCACTTTACCTTCAATATCAGAATGTATGATCCATGGTTTATGTATTTAATACTATTTCTTCTTGATTACAGAGCCCTCTATTCAGCTTTACTACATCTATCTATAATGGATGAAATGACTATCAACATATCACTACAGTCTATTCATGTTCTTATGTACTCAGGTACTTCTTCCCAACAGTGTATATGGAAGTGCTTTTATTTAGAACAGAACTGGTGATAAAAACCCACAAATAATGTCAAAAATATAGTTTTGTATTACAGAAATAATGATAATGGGATGCAAAATGTTTCCCATTGTCATCAATCTGAATTTACCAGATTGCTTTGAATGATTAATAATCTTTACTTGATGAAATTAGATGAAGTCTAAAATACTTGTAGAAGCTCAATGTAATTCATGATCTCTTTAGAAAGTGCTATCATCCAAATCATCATGATCATTCCTGATTATCACACATCCTCACTAATATTTATACCATAATCCATGTAAAAGTTTGATATTTTTTTTAAGCATTTACAAATAATTTTCAACATACTTTTGCAGCCTACACATTTTGTCAGTTGTGCTAAAATATCTCTATCAGGCATTATACTGCCCTGTACATTTGTACCAAACATGCAGACAATTCTGTCTCAGGGACAATAGCTCCCAAGATGATTCTATCCTGAGACACAGTACAAAATTAGGGGTATGTAGCAGTCCAAACATTGCTTGGGCAAAGCACTGATGTTTTAGCATAAATATAGATTTATTTTAAAGCTATTTGAACCTGGAGCTTTCATCTCTTTTACCATACTTTCAAGAATTTGAAAGGGAGCAACAAAAGAATCTAAAAGCAGTTGGACATGAATATACTATTTCACATATTAGCAGATTAATTCTAACATGTTATGCACACATGTTATGCAGGGGTTTCACTGTTCCCATACAGAAGTGGTGCTAAAGACATAAACTTAATCTTCCAAATGGAGTTAGAGTTCCAGATAGCTTACATGGAAATGTGCTCATTGAGAAGTTTCATGCTTGTGACCTGCTACATGTATGCCTTCCCAGAGAAAATAAATCCAAATTCCATTAAAGTAAATGGAAAATTGGTTGAAATTAAATGATTTGTGGATTAAATTTGTACACTTGCTGACAGCCTTCTCTTTGTTCATAGGTATTGTGGGTTCACTGAGCAATCTTTTCTTGGGCTATATGGGTATCATCTATATGACATCATGAATATTAGCTATGATGCATGATACTTGGTGGATTCTGGATCAATTTGCTTCAGGATAAACTTTTCCTGGTTCATTGTGAAGTGGGATAGTTGAATACAGGCAAATTGTTTGGCCTGTGTTTTTAAAGCTCAAAACAATTTCTGGGGGAGAAAAAGAGTTCTGTAAATGCAAAACATGTTTTAGGTTAATTAATAATCTTGTTCTATTTTTATAAATGATCTGTCTGTTGCAAGGCTCATAGCTGGAATAGTACTGCTCATTAAACTGTTATAACTGAAAAAGCAGGTAATTATTTTAGCACATAAGCTTTTCATTATCCTAAAGTTTATCTCAGTATATTAACAGCATCTACTGCATCTTCCTACAAACCTGGCTTCCCATATAAGCTTAGTCCTATCAGACTTTCTACCCACACAGGTTTTTATGGAATACCTTTGTAGAGGAAATATGTGGATGTTTTAACAAATGTAGTGTCTTATCATGATCTGAAAATTATTAAACAAATCAGAAGAATATCAATGTTTATTAGTGCAAGTTTAGGATGCATTCTTTTATTAAAAACATGAATCTACTGGCTAACATAAAGTGTGTGTTCCTTGTCATAGGGAATATTTTGTGTAATTGAAAAGAGGCTAAGATTACCAACATATGTGCTCAAAACACACAATTAAAAATGATCTGGTGTAACAAATCTGTGAAGTAGTGGCTGAATTATTAATAATAAAATTATTTGCTTTATGTAGTTCAAAAATTAAAAAAATTCATCTGACAAGGTAACTTATTGTTATTCTGATACTTCATTATGCAGTAGGCAGTGGTGTTGGTTCCTGCTATGAGATGCAAATTCGGTTGACAGTGCTCCTGCTGTTTGGATAAAGGTTAAAAATACACATATAATATTGTTTCTGGCACTTTTAAAAAGGTCTTTGAGTGATGATTTCAGTAATATACAAATTTTAGTAATTCTGCATAGAACTGCATCATTTTACAAATTCACACTGACCTACATTTTTTGAAGTTTATCAAACTATTGCATTCTGCTCACATTTTCACTGAGAGTCTGTGGTCCTTTGGCCAAACAATATTTTAAAAATGATAGTACTAACTAAAGGGCATTTGATAAAAATCAATAATTAGTATAGTTGCCTAGAGTACCCAGAAAAAGTATTAAGTTATTGTGATTTTAAACAGTTCAGACCACAAATCATAAAATGCCAGCAACTGAGGCAGTAGACAACCTTAGCCTAAGAGGAGATAATCTAAATTGATTTTATCTTCCTGACTATATATCATTCTCCCTGCTCAAATACAGAATATGGAAGTCAAAATAAAATTAGTGAGACAATAATTTTGGTACATCACTGCATGCCACTTGATTTCACATCATATTGGTGTGGGTGAGGATAGCATATGACCTGCCATGATAACATCATTTGA